CGGAGGCAACTGAGCCGAGAGAGACTAGAGGAGGCCCCTGCCCCTATTCTGCGTCCCCTGAGCCGGCCAGGTTCCCAGGAACATGTGGACGCTGTGCCAGGCCGCCCGGAGCCCAGAAATCGGGGCAGCACCTTGCCACGGAGGCAGCCACCCCGGGACTACCCTGGCGCCGTGGCTGGCCGCTTCGGGTCACGGGATGCACTGGACTTAGGGGCACCTCGAGAGTGGTTGAGCACGCTGCCCCCTCCCCGCCGCACCTGGGACCTTGACCCACAGCCCCCGCCTCTGCCCATGTCTCCTCAGCGGCAACTCTCAAGGGACCCCCTCTTGCCATCCCGGCCCCTGGACTCTCTGTCTAGGAGCTCGAACTCTCGGGAGCGGCTGGACCAGGCGCCTAGCCGGCATGCCTCACGAGAAGCCCTCGGGCCACCCCCACAGCTGCTCAGAGCTAGGGAGGACCCAGCCAGGGGCCCCAGCCATGGCCCCTCCACAGAGCAGCTGGACATTCTCTCCTCTATCCTCGCGTCTTTCAACTCCTCGGCCCTCTCCTCTGTGCAGTCCTCAAGCACGCCATCGGGCCCCCACACCACTGCTACGCCTTCTGCCACAGCCTCTGCACTTGGGCCCTCCACGCCACGCTCTGCCACCTCTCACAGTATCTCAGAGCTGTCACCGGACTCAGAGTAAGCATGGTGCCGCCACCTGCTCACACCCTTGTCAGCTTAGGGCAACCTCCTGTGTACCCTGCTCCATGTTCTGCCACTGAATAGGGTGAGGGTTGGCAGATATGTATGGCCCACCCCAGCCTCAGCACAGCCAAAGGCCATAGGCTGGGGACAGAAATCTAGCAGGAAATGGGGGTGTGACTAGCAGGGACATGCCAGCCAAATGATAGGAGCCAGCCACCCTTCCCTGCACCTCCCAGGCTAAGGAGAGATAGGTGCCTTCCAAAGGGCTTGAGCTAGCACAAGCAGAGGACAGGGGTCAAGGCCCAGAAGTGGGAGGTAATCTGGTGAGTGCAAGGGGCAGGGGAAGGGAGCAGGCTTGGCTTAGGAGGTTGTATGTGATAAGGAGGGGCCTGAAGTTGTGCCAGGATATGCCAGGCCGAAGAGCCAACTTTGTAGAGGGTAAATCATTTGTTCATTGATTTCCTCAGTCGATATGAAGGTCTTCCTGCGGTGGGCACTCTCGGGTGGGCCTCATGGGAGCTGAGTTGGGACCTGGTGCAGCATCTCAGGTGCCGGTGGGGCATCTGTGGGGGGGAGATGGCAGATGGACCTGGGAAGTAACTGCATGCACAGGAGTCAGAGAAGAAGTGGTGGGGTGGGAGCAACCAGCAGTCGCCAGGTCTTGAAAGCCAAAAGGACAGGTGAGTTCCAAGGAGAACAAACAGGCGGGTCAGGCTCTGTGAGGGCTTATAGGGTAAGAGATGGCTTTGGGGGAAGGGACCCCCGGAGTGGAGAAGGGGACCAACAGAACTGAGCAGGACCCAGTGTTGGGAGAGGACAAAGGAAGGTGAGAGGAGCAGGGGATTTGGGAGCCTGAGGCTCCAGAGCGATGCTGGGGGTATGGATGAGAGGGAGCTGACTCCCCACCAGGGTCCCCCCGCGGTCTAGCCTTGGGGTCTGGCTGTGTGCGAGGTGCGCTGGGGACTGAGCAGGGGTTCAGGCTCTGGAGTCACACAGGTCTGAGTCTAAGTTCTATGTCTCACCTCATAAGCTGTGGGCCTTGGAAAGGTATAAGCCTCTCTGAGCCTCAGTTTCCTCATCTATAAAAGGGGTTGTAGTAACAAACTCAGATGTGGAGATTTATGAGACAATGTCAAGTGCTTAACATAGCATCTGTACATAGTAGGTGCTTTGGAAGCACTTAGAGAACAGACCTAGGTGGCCGAGGAGCCTTGCTGATGAGTCTGGGGGTGCAGAATGGATGGAGTGGGCATGAGGGGGCATGAGGGGTTGGGGGCTGAGAGGCAGGGGTAATGGCAGAGGCGTGGGGAGGTGGACCAGGCCAAGACTGGTGGGAGATCCCAGAGCCACCTGAGTCCTCTCAATATCGACCTTTGATTTCCACCCAAAACTCTACAGAGTTCCCAGAAGTGAGGGTCACTCCTGAGGGGCCAGCGGTACAGACGAGGAACAGCCGAGGACGATGGAGGGTTTGAGCTAACAGAAGAGACTCCAGGAGTTGGGGGCTGATCCCAAGGCAGCCTCTGCCTCCCACCCTACACAGCTCTGCCCCGTGAGGTTATGAGGTTCTGAGGTTCCATGTGCATCTGTGAGCATGTGTGTGACAGATGCAGGGATGGAGAAACTGAAGGGAGGACTTTTATATGTTTTGTACCTTTGTAACCAGAGAGATATGCCTATGTTATTTTTCAGCTTTTCTGTCTCCCAGGGGTCTGAGGCTGGGCTGGGAGGGGGAGGAGGACAGAGAAAGAGAGAGACAGAGTTTGGCCTCACGTGGGTCCCTAGCAAACCATATTCTCTTACTGGGGTGGAGTCAGACAGGTGGGACAGAGGCCTTCCTACCCTCCCCTTACCGGCAAGGTGGACCTGAATATTGCCAGGGGCCCAAGTACAGAATTGTTCCTTGCTTTTTCTTGAATGCCCCAAAGGCCAAACTTCTGGGCTGGGGGTTGGTCTTGGAAACAGGGGTCCTCTGGCTTCCTCATGGGGGCTTGTTCATGCCTCCCCTCCCTGTGGATGTGTGTGTTTATTATGTGGAGTCCCTGCCACTTACTGCCTTATGACCTAGGACTGATGCTGTGGGGTGCTGGTGGAGCAGCAGATGTCATGTTTACAGAGCAAGGCTTCCCTGGCTCCTGTGAGGGGCTCGGGCCCTGCAGAGGGTGGGGGAGGGGTTGTTCACCTGCCCCTGGCCCTGCTGTGAGCAAAAGTTGTCTGTGGTGCCATTTGATTCTCTGACACTGCCCTCTGCTAGAATTTGCTCTGAAGGGTGGGTTGGGAGGGTGAGCAAGGGGAGCAGAAACAAGGGAATTCAAGACCCAGAATGTAGGTGCCACTGCCTCCAGAGTTTACAGGATCCTCCCTGGCCCTTGGCACCGGGCTGCTGGAAGTGACTCAGTTCCACTCCTCCTTTATTCCCTTAAAAAGGGAAAAATGACTGTTAGGACCCTGTTCACAAAACACTCACTTTTGTTACTTTGTCTGATGTCCAGAACTGGGGACTTTAAATTTTTATTGCTTTGTTTAGAGGTAGAGATTTAAAAAAAATTTTTTTAACTTTGTTTACAACTTAAAACTTTGAACTTTTACACTTTGTTTACAGTTGTGAATGTTTTTTTTCCCCCTCTTTGTTTACAAGTAAAAGGTAGGGAAAGTGGGAGAGGGGCTTGGAGGACCCACCTGTGAGGACCCTGGACCTGGCCATCTTGAGCTCTCCCAGGCCAAAGGTCAGCCCTGAGTCCCTTGTTTAACAGCAGACCCAGAGGGCCTCAAGAGTAGGCACCCTCTTTCCACAGGGATGGTGGTTGTGTATGGCTGGGGGGTGGTCTGTATAGACACCTCCCCACCCCCCACCCCATGCATACTCTTGGGAGGCAGTTTCCTAGGAGATTAAAAATTGTACTTCACTGACTGGTGCCAAATCCCACCAGCCAGGACCCAAGCTCTCCTTACCCAGAATGATCCCAGCCCTTGAAGGGCTGAGTGGCCTGCTAAGGGTGGGAGGGTGTCCTTGCTTCGGCCTAGGTTCTATAGATGCCCCTCCCTGGGGGTACCCCTCTCCAGCCCAGCAGTCCTCTTTGCTGTCTGTGTAAATTGTTCCGTGAAGCCGCGCTCTGTTTTGGGAATAAACTTCTATAGAAAACAGTTGTTGTCTCTTTCTGTCATGGGGTGCAGGATAGTGACTGTGAATGATTCAGGCCAGACTGACCTTTGGGAGGAATCTGAGCCCCCTCCAAGAATATCTAGCTATTTTTAGCCCATTTCATCCTAGATTTGGACGAAGTTCCCATCTTTCACCCTGAAACCTGGGCCCTCACCTTGTAATTGGGGCCTAAAGTTGAAGCACAAGTGCTGGGAGTAAGGGTGCCAAGGGAAGCCTCCTCTCTGATCAAGGCAGCGGCATGAGGACATCCTAAGTCTTTGGGGCCTACAGCCCTGGCCTGGCGTTTTATGCCCTGGCTAGGGGTCATGACACTTAGGGGTCACTGACAGCACTGACCCTCACCAGCCTCTCTGATCTGGAGCCGGCCAGAAGTATGTGTTTCCCCCCTCTGTGGGTCAGGCAGGAACCTTCCAGGCGCAGGCACGGTCTCAATGCCTGGGCCATGTTTTGTGCGGGGGAAGGGGAGGGGAAGGGGACGGGGGGGCGCGGGGGGATCCTTGCAGCTTCATTTCTGGCCTTTTCTGGCCTGGGTTGTCAGAGCCGAAGAGGAGGCCGTGGGGACCATCTCAGAAACAACATGCCTACCTTCAGAGGGAAAGCCTGAGGGTGGCGCCCTAAGCTGGAGGCATGAGAAGCCCCACAGACCTAGATCCCCCACCAAGAGTTAAGGCTGGGGTTACCGGACACACCCCAAGGCCTCCTGACCACTCAGTGGTTTCCCCTCCCCACTACGCGGGTACCCTGCGCAAAGCCAAGACCGACAAGCAGCTCCATCCCACACAGGGGCCTGGGGCCGTGGCTACAGCCAGCCCAGAGCTGGTCCCTAGTTCCAGTTCTGCAGTCCCACCGGCCTCGGGGCAGAGGGCCGCGATGGGGAGTGCGAGCCAGACCTCCGGGGAGGAAGGGGTTAAATCTTCACTCTCCGGGTTCTCGGGGCCTGGGGAGCTCCCCTTAGACCCCGCCCCCGCACGCTGATTGGCCCAAGCCTTCCCTGTGCTGCCCCGGGATTAGTCCCCGGGAGCGCGCCGCCGGCCTTGCAGCAGCCGCGGCGCCGCCTTCCGGCGCCTAGCGGCCCGTAGCTGGAGCTGTTAGGAGCAGCAGCCAGGCGCTTGCGAGCCATGGGGCTGTCGGAGGCGTCCGGGTGAGTGCAGGGCGCGGCCCGGGTTCTCCGTGTCCGCGAGGTGCGGGCCCGGCGTGAGCTCCAGACCTGGAGCAGGCATCTCCCGCCTGCGATCGCCTCTTTGTCGATTTTTTGCAGGCGGCTGACGGTCAGCAGCCAGGGATGGGGGTGGGAGCCGGCGCGACCCCAGCCCCTGCGGGCTGTGCGGGTAGCTGCTGGAGTGCTGCCCGAGGGCTAACTGGGGGCCGCAGGGAGGCAGCAGCGTGCAGAAGAGCCCTGGCTGGGGCGCTGCGTGGGGGCCTGGAGGTTGCTGCAAGAGAGTCCCTGGCCGGGGTCCGTGGGTTAACTGATTTCACCTGGGGCCCGGGTCAGCCCAGATCTACACCTGACCGGGGAGTGAGCTCTCCGGCCCTTCTGGCTGTGCCCTCCTAAAGGGAGGAGCCAACGATCTAGGCTTCGCCGTCTGGGCGCGGGTCCAGCGTTGTCGGGGAGGGAGTCCTTGAAAAAGACCTAAGCGACTCACTGAGGAGGGGAGTGAGAGGGGGCTCTAAGATTTGGAGACAGCGGTGCCAAGAATCTCTGAGGATCTTCCTCGCACCCACTCCACTCTCTCCTCCAACGGGGACATCCAGTTTAGAAGCCCTTCCCAGGTGAGTTCCTGTCCCTCAGGTGGGATTCTCTCCCCAGCTCAGAACTCCCAGATCTCAACTTTTCTGATAGGCGAAAGCTTCCCCAACAGGCTAGAGCTTTCCCCAGGTAACATCCCCGCTGTGAGATATATTCTCAGGTGAGTACTTTCTCCCAGTCCGTGTGGGAGCCTCCCCCCAGGTCAGAGCTTCCCTTAGATGAGAGTACCCCCCAGGTAAGAACCCTCTTCCCCTGGGTCTCCTGTTCCCAGGTGAGATCTTTCTCCCACTTAAAGTAAGAGCCTCTGGACAGATAAGAGATTTTGCCTGGGTAGTGAAAGTTTTCCTGGCAGGTCAGAGTTCCTTGTAGGTGAGATTTCCCTGAGAGCTCCTATTCTCAGGTGAAATCTTTCTGCTGCTTCAAGTGGGCACTTCCCTTTCTAGCTGGGAGCCTCTCCCTCTAGGTGAGAGCTTCCCGCTCCAGGAAAGACCCCCCTTTTCCTCAGGTGAGAGCCATCCCTTGGTTTTCCCAGACTAGGCCTGAGCTGTCTAAACCTGGACCCTGGGACTGGAGGCCCAGAGGCAACCTTGGCCCCAACACATTCCTTCTGTTAGAGGGGAGGGTCTCATCTGGAGGCCTGAGGCTTGGAGAGGGAGTTGCTTGAAGAGCTGGACCCCTGGTTTGCTGGATCTCTTCCCTGAGCGTGCTCTCAGCCAGCCAGCACTGGGCTCCTGGGGTAGCTGGATAAGGACTTGGGGACTGGACACGGACTAGCTGGGGGAAGACAAGGAGTTGGGAGAAAGGGGCTAGGAGGGGTGGCCAGCCCTGGACCCATAGCAGAATGCTCAGAGCTGGGCAGCCTGTGCTCATCCTACTGTCCCTTGTTGGGGGACTTTGGCCTAGAAAGAGGCTTCCATCAGCCAAAGTTCAGGTACTGCCCCTGCCTGGGTGTGGGCATGGGGCCCACAGGGGCAGGCTGGGACTGGACCTACTGTACCTTGATCTTGGGGCCTGGAAAAATCAGGTAGGTGACTCTCTGGTCCCAGGTGGAGGTGTGGGGGAGGTGGGATCAGGGGTGTGCTCACTGTATCTCTGTGGTTTCACCACCCCACTCCAAGGGATGTGCAGGTACAGCTGTCTGCAACCCAGGCAATGGAGCTGCACAGGCGAGACTACCACATGGAACGGCCATTGCTGAACCAGGAGCAGCTGGAGGAGCTGGGGCACTGGAGCTCAGCGCCTAGGACCCGTCAGTGGCGAATCTGGTTTCAGTAAGGCCAAGGGTGGAGTTCTGAGGGCTCTGGCAGGGCCTGGGTGGCCCCTGTCCCTGATACTTACCCCTCATGTTCTCAGGTGCTCCTATGCCCGAGCCCGTGCCCTTCTGCTCCAGCGCCTCCCAGTTTTGGTCTGGTTACCCCGGTATCCCGTGCGTGACTGGCTCCTGGGTGACTTGTTATCTGGCCTGAGTGTGGCAATCATGCAGCTTCCACAGGGTGAGCCCCTTCTAGGCCTTGGCCTGGAAGCCTTGTGGTCTGTGAACCCCCCCAAACCTGGAGCCATGACCTCTGACCCTGGAACTATGGCGCCTGACCCAGGGCTGGGATTCCCCTGCCCTTTTGAGACCCTGGCTTCTAAGCCTGCATTACTACCCTCCCACCCCCAGGCTTGGCCTATGCTCTCCTGGCTGGGTTGCCCCCTGTGTTTGGCCTCTACAGCTCCTTCTACCCAGTTTTCATCTACTTCCTGTTTGGTACTTCCCGGCACATCTCTGTGGGTAAGTGGAGTCAGGCCTATCCTTCAGGAGGGTGCCCACATCCACCATGGAGGACAGGGAGAGGGAGAGCTGGGAGGGCAGGAGAGCTTAGGGAAGAAGGCAATATTGGTGCTGGGTCACTGGGAGGCTAGCCCAAGAGTCATCCCCAGGCAGGACTAAGACCACAGATTCAGGGCACCTCAAAGCCCTGGCTCCGGGACAATGTAAGTAGGTGAGGCAGCTTGAGGGGCCTGGAGCTTGGCAGAGGCCTGACCAGTCTAAGGCAGGCCCTGACCCCTTCCCCACTCCATAGAGAGCCTCTGTGTCCCTGAGCCAAGAGACACAGGTGAGACAGGGTGGGTGATGCAGGGCCAGCATTTCTAGTCAACCTAAAGAGCCTGTGACCTCAAGGTTCACTACTGACCCTGGCCATACCTAACCACTGGCACTTGTACACCTCATTTGTACAGCCGTAGTCTGAGGATATTTGTCCAGAACTGGATGTCTCTTGGCCTCTCTCTTAAGACCAGAGCTCTAGGGTATGGCAGTGTCCTCTCCCCTTTAGACCTGCCCTGATTGTCCCTACAGGGACCTTTGCTATCATGTCTGTGATGGTGGGCAGTGTGACAGAATCCTTGGCCCCGGCCACGAACTCCACAGTCAACGAGACAGCCATAGATGCCGCCCGGGTACAGCTGGCCTCCACGCTCAGCGTCCTGGTCGGCCTCTTCCAGGTGTGGAACAGTCAGGAGTGTGTGCTCCCCCCACCCCCCTGCAGTTCCCCTGAGTGTCTGCCCAGCTCCACCCTCCTCCTCTTGCTGTCCACTCATCCCCCTCTGATCCCACATGCCCTGGGCTTCAGCCACCCCTGGGACCCCTACCTCCCTTGACTACCCCTGGCCACTTCACAGGTGGGGCTGGGCCTGGTCCACTTCGGCTTCGTGGTCACCTACCTGTCAGAGCCTCTGGTCCGTAGCTATACCACAGCTGCGTCTGTGCAGGTCTTCATCTCTCAGCTCAAGTATGTGTTCGGCCTCCGTCTGAACAGCTACTCTGGGCCACTGTCCCTCATCTATGTGAGTGAGGGAGGGAGGAGGGATGGGTAGGTGTGCCCCATGGCCTTGAGTGCTGGCTATGACCCGCCTCTCCACAGACAGTGCTGGAGGTCTGCTGGAAGCTGCCTCAGAGTGTGGTTGGCACCGTGGTCACTGCCGCTGTGGCAGGGGTGGTGCTCGTGATGGTGAAGCTGTTGAATGACAAGCTGCAGCGGCATCTGCCTGTGCCAATACCCGGGGAGCTGCTCACGGTTCGGGAGCCAGGAGCGGGGGTGCAGGGAAAAGGGCAGGGCAGGATGGGTCCCTGCCACATGGGCAGCCTCCAGGTGTTTGAGGGCCAGTTGGAGTGAGTGCTGGGGAGCATTCCGGGTATGAGGGGACCACAGAGGAAGCCCCTGTGGTGGTGTCTTCCTACCCCTGACAGCATCTCCCTCTGCCCAAAATGGCATTGTCTATGTCACCCTGTCAATGACTCCTCCCCGCCCCTCTGAAGAAGGTTTTGTCCCAGTGTCTCCCTCCTCACCTCAGAGTGGTTTATTCACCGTCCCCTCCAACCCGACTCTGAGGCCAGCACCTCCCTCCCCGACCCTGTTCTCCCAACAGCTCATCGGGGCCACAGGCATCTCCTATGGCGTGGACCTGAAGCACAGATTTGGGGTAGATGTAGTGGGCGACATCCCTCCAGGGTGAGCTCCCGTCAGGCCAGGGAGGGTTGGGCAGCGGGGCCAGGACCTTCCTTTGGCCTCACAGACACTTTCCACAGGCTGGTGCCCCCAGTGGCCCCCAACCCCCAGCTGTTCGCAAAGCTTGTGGGAAACGCCTTTGCCATCGCTGTGGTGGGGTTCGCCATTGCCATCTCGCTGGGGAAGATCTTCGCCCTGAGGCATGGCTACCGGGTGGACAGCAACCAGGTCTGGGTGACGTGGGGCTTGTAGGAGACATCCAGGTGTATGGGGGCCCCTGGGAGGGCGGGTAGGGAGGGCCATGTGGGACACAGGGAAATAGCAGATGTGCTGGGGCCATGGGGGGAACCGAGGGTGGGAGAACAGCATATGTGGGACAGCACCCAGTCTTTGGAGGCGATTGCGTGGGGATGGAGGTTGGGGATATATAGGCCTAGGCACAGTGGGACAGTGACCAGGCACTTCCAGGAAGTCTCCTCACATCCACATTCCCCTCCACCAGGAACTGGTGGCCCTCGGCCTCAGTAACCTCATCGGGGGAATCTTCCAGTGCTTCCCCGTGAGTTGCTCTATGTCTCGGAGCCTGGTGCAGGAGAGCACCGGGGGCAACACGCAGGTGGGCTTTGGGCACGGGTGCGGGTGTGCCTCTGTGCACATGCTGCTTTGCCAGTGTGTGCACCGCTTCCCCCACCCCTGCTCCCCCCAACTCCCTCACCCCTGCTGCCCCACCCAACAGGTTGCTGGAGCCATTTCTTCCCTTTTCATCCTCCTCGTCATTGTCAAACTTGGGGAACTCTTCAAAGACCTTCCCAAGGTGAGTTCCCACCCCACCCAGCCAGGCTTCAGGTCCTTGGCCAGGCCAGGGGCTCAGATAAGTCAGTCTAGTCCCAGGTGAGGGGTGAGGATACAAGGTTATGTCCTGTTTCTTACGGCTAAGATCTTTGGGGTGAGATTTGGAGTCAAGGGTCAGGGGTTAGAACCTTTCAGAGATCAAAGTTGTTAGGATGAGGGGGTGGGAGGTACTGTCAGTTGGGGTTCTGTCCAACTTGAGGTCAGTCTGGGTCATGCCTGGGTGGCCAGGTTGTCAGCATATGGGCACCTCTCAACGGCCCCTGGCAACACCCCCCCTCCCCCAGGCAGTGCTGGCAGCCACCATTATCGTGAACCTGAAGGGCATGCTGATGCAGTTCACTGACATATGCTCCCTCTGGAAGGCTAACCGAGCGGATCTGGTGAGAGGCCTAGGGAGACCGGGGCTGGGATTTGGGGCCTCAGCCTCAGGCTCCACTCAGTTTGACCACTGCCCTCTGTTCTCAGCTCATCTGGCTGGTGACCTTTGTGGCCACTATCCTGCTAAACCTGGACCTTGGCCTGGCAGTTGCAATAGTCTTTTCCCTGCTGCTCCTGGTGGTCCGGACACAGCTGTGAGTCAACCACGTCAGTCTCCCCATTCCAGCTAGTCAGGGGGCTCCACACCGCCTCCCCTCATCTGTCCCCATATCTCTGGGGACCTCGGGCTCCTTCATACCCCCTTGTTGCCCCCTCTTCTTGAACTCGCTCTCTCCCCACAGGCCCCACTACTCTGTCCTGGGGCAGTTGCCAGACACGGACGTTTACAGAGACGTGGCCGAGTACTCAGAGGTGAGCAGCAGGGGCTGTGCAGGAGGACAGCATGGGTGGGGTGGGATGGACAGAATGGGACTTTGTCAGTCCCTTCCACACCTGGCCAGGATGCTGGGGGCTGAGGCACTTTGGCTTTGGTCCTTGGAATTTCAAGGGACGAATTGGGGTCTGTGACCCCCACCAGAGATCTGAGGGGCTGCAAAGGGGCAGAGGAAGACTGGACAGAGCTGGGTCTGGGGGCCCAGGGAGGGGTCTGCCTTGGAGCCAACAGCACAGGCTCCATCCTGTGGAGCAGTCCTGGGTCAGGAGCCAGAGGGCCAGGGACCCAGGGCACCAGGATGTAGGGGGGCTGTTTCTCAATCTGATCAGCGGGGTTACTAAGTCCCTAGTCATTCATTTACCTCCTGAGAAATCTTGGACCAGGTGCTGGGAACATAGGTGGGGGACTCTAGAATAAAACAAGTCCATTCCCCCTAACATGGAGGAATGAAGGCTGAGCACAGTGGGACTAGGCAGCTTGAGGGGAAGAACCAAGGGACCAAGATGTGGGAAAGGACGTGAGGGGAGCAGCCCAGCTGGATGGAAAGGGGGTGCCACATCATGCAGGTCCTGATGCCAAGCAAAGACCTGGGCTGTGTGCCGAATGGGGTGGGAGCGGGGGAATGTCTGGTTGGGATGACAGGAGATGCGTGCAGGAAACAGACCACGGGGCAGGGGTTGGAGACCCAAGAGCCTCTGAAACCTGGCTTGGGTGGTGGCAGGAGAGGTGGGGAGGGAGAGGTGTGGGCTGTGCCCTGGGGGAAGCCCTGCCAGGCCTGCCGAGGGCCTGGGCAGGAGAGGGGTAGCAGGATGGGCAGGATGACACCACCACGCTCTCACACTTGTGGCCCAAGCCTCTGGGAGGGCGTGGGCTGCAGGCAGGGGCAGAACGTTGGATGGTGGTGTTGGGTGGTGGCGGCCCTCTGGCACTCCTGGGGAGGAAAGGTTGGAGAACAGATGCAGCAGAGGGAGAGGAGGGCTCAGCTACCCCAACCCCACTCGGTCCCCAGGCCAAGGAGGTCCCGGGCGTGAAGATCTTCCGCTCCTCAGCCACCTTGTACTTTGCCAATGCCGAGCTCTACAGTGACGCGCTGAAACAGAGGGTGAGGCATGGGGTCCCCAGGGTGGGTGTCAGGGCCCCGCCTCCCCAGAGCGCCCACCCCGCTTCCCTGACATTTGCCCCCAGTGTGGCGTGGATGTGGACCACCTCATCTCCCGGAAGAAGAAGCTGCTCAGGAAGCAGGAGAAGCTAAAGCTGAAGCAACTGCAGAAAGAGAAGCGGCTCCAGAAACAGGCAGGGTCCTGTTAGCTGGCAACTCCGACCCCTGCCTGCTCTCGGCCTCTGCCCTCTGCCCTGCAGTCAACCCCAGCCTTTCTCCCAGCCTCCTGACTCCTTGTCCCCATGCCTCACCCCTCCCCCTTTCTCCTTCTTGCCCCCAAGGACCCTGCCCTCAGACCCCTGGCAGGTCAGGGATCCGGGTGGTGGTTTGTTTTTTTCCCCATCTCCCGAACCAGGGACAGTGTGGACCATCACAGTCCTCTTCCATTTTATGGCTGTTCCTGGAACTGGTCAGAACCCTGCAGCCTTCAGCCTGGCTGCCCTGGGTCCCCCTGCTTTGGGTCCTGGGCCACCTACCTTCTGTCAAAGCCAGGGGGCGACACCAGCCCTGCCTGACATGGCTGTCAGGGCAGCTGGGATACCTCCTTCCATCCCCGCTCTTCCCTGGCCTAGGCTGCCTCCTCCAAGGGCGCCTCAGTTTCCGTTAATGTCAACACCAGCCTCGAAGACATCAAGAGCAATGATGTGGAAGACTCCAAGGCCAGGGTGAGGCTGGAGGTGGGAGAGGAGGGCCCAGACATGAGTATCCACAGATGTCCCAAGAGGAAAGGCGTGGACCCACTGCTGGGTTCCAGGGCATTGTGCTGGTGGCAGGAGGAATGGGGTGATGGATCAGATACACTGTGGGGACATTTCTAGTGATATGGCATAGAATTCTGCTTGTGGCCCTCTTGTCTAGAATCTCAGGCCTAGATGAAGACCTTGAATTTGTAGATGCCACAAGACCCCACAGTCTGTGCTCATGGGTAGAGGGAAGGAATTGGGTGTATGGGGAAAAAACCTAGGGGTCAAAGCCAGGTACAGTGGCACATGCCTGTAGTCCCAGCTACTCAGGAGACTGAGGTGGGAGGATGGCTTTAGGCGAGGAGTTTTTTTTTTTTCTTTGTCCCCACCCCTTCTCTCCCCCCCACCCCCCGCCCACCCGGTCAAAGCCAGGAGTTTGAATTCAGCCCAGGCAACATAGACCTTGCCTCAAAAAAAACCTTAGGGGTCAAAGGGGATGCTAAGCTCAATGAGAGACTTGGACAGGGCAGGGTGCCCAAGTGTCCATGTGTGAGTGTGTGCACTTGAACGCATGTGTCTATTCTGGTCTGCCCTGGGCCCCCTACCCACTCCACCCTGGCTGGCTGAGGATGTGACAGTCTCCTGGCACCCTCCCTTATTGTGTCCCTATTTAGCCTGGACCCAGGAGGTAACAGAACAGGGTGTGCATGTCTGGGTGTGCTCTCCTGCATGTCCCCATGTGTCCTTCCTGTCTTTGCTTACATACACGGCTCCCCATGTCTGTGCTCGTGTCCCATGTATGCCCCCATCTGTGTGTGTTTATATATAGGCCCCCACATCTGACCTGTGTGTCCTGCATGTCTGTGCACATTCCCTGCCCTCACCCTGTCTTGGTGGCCCTTGCAGCATGTGTGGTTTCCCAGCAGGTGAGCCCAGGGGATAAGCTGGAAGACACAGCAGCCAGTGGTCAAGAAGATGCCAAGGCCCCATACGTGTCCACGCTGAAGGCCCTGGGCCTGCCTCAGCCAGATTTCCATAGCCTCATCCTGGACTTGGGCACCCTCTCCTTCGTGGACACTGTGTGCCTCAAGAGCCTGAAGAACGTAAGGGGCTGGGCCAGACCGAGGCTCCTCAAGCCCCCATACTGACCCCATAACTTGCCCTGAGAGCCCTCTGAGCCTCTGATTCCCCAAACCCTCTCCCAAGCCTGCCCGAGTCACCCCTCTGAGTCTCCAACCCTCCCTCTGAGTCTGGCCCCCTTTTCTGTGGCAGATTTTCCGTGACTTCCGGGAGATCGAGGTGGAGGTGTACATGGCGGCCTGCCACAGTGCGTGCGGTGGGGACAGCAGGAGGGATCTGGGAAGGGGGTGGGACTCTTTTGGTCAAGGAAAAGGTCTCTGAAACTGTAGGTCAGAGGTGTCCTCGGAGGCAGGAGTGACTGGGGTTTAGCTGTAGCCTCTGAGGTGGTGGTCAGGGTGATGGGGTCAGGGCATTCAGCTGGTTCCTGGGGGCTAGGTTCCTGGTGGTTCTGAGAGTCAGGGGAGACCTACTCTTTGCCTATAGGCCCTGTGGTCACCCAGCTTGAGGCTGGACATTTCTTCGATGCATCCATCACTAAGAAGCATCTCTTTGCCTCTGTCCATGACGCTGTCACCTTTGCCCTCCAACATCCAAGGTCTGGCCCCGACAGCACTGTTTTGGTGAGCTGACCTCTGAGCCATTGAACTCATTTTTGTTAATCTGTTGCTTGTCCTCACCCTGGCCCCAACTCCAAGAAGTCTGTCCTGGTGACCATGGCTCTGCCCCCAGTGGACCCACTGCCTTCCCCTCCTGCCTTTGGGTACAGCTGCTCCTGGGGGCAGGGGTTGCTTTCCCAGGGCTGGGGGTTGGTATGTGCCCTTTGGAAACTGACTGGAGCCTCCCCTTCTCTGCCCATTCAGGCCACCAAACTCTGACCATGCTGCCATCCTGTCTGAGACTGCCTACCTCTGTAGGCTGTGACGAGGCACCCTTCAGAAGCCCACCACCCCTGGGCTGCCTACAGCTGCCACCCAGGAGTCCCCTCAGTGCAAACACATACATAACTCAGGGATGGAGATCCTGGGACTCCAAGTCAGTGCTCCAGGCCTGGGACAGGGTACTGCAGTGAGGCTGACACTGCCCAGATGCAGGGAGGGAGTTGGTGCATATTTTCAGCCTCTGGAATAAAGATTTTTCTGCCCCAGTGCAGGCTCTGCATGGCTTGGTGTGGGCTTGGTGGTGAGTGGTCCACAGCTCTGGCTCCTGGCCCTTCTTATGCCCCAGTGGGGTCAGAAGTTGGGGAGAAAATTCAAGGAGGTGACGGTCAGGCAGGGAGAGTACAGAGAAGAGCTGGGGACATCCCGGGTACAGGTTTCCCCCAGCCAAGCGTAGCACAGCCCCTGTGTCCTCAGCTGTGAACTAGCTGGAGTCAGAGCTGCTTCTCAGGAATGGTCCATTCTCAGGGATACCTGATGAGGTGCAGGGCAGGACAGGTGCCACTGGGCAGCCCCTGGAGGGTGCAGAGTGAACACCTGAGCAACCAGCTGAGGAAGAGCCAGCTGTTCACCATTTAAGAATAAGAAGCGTGATTGGTTTGCTGGGGAAGAATGCCTGTTCATAGAATTAGATCACCTGGCCTTCTCAGAGTGCTGTCAGCCCAGAAGCATGTGTCGATTTCTGCCATAAAGCACCGACATCTGGGCATGTGGCCCGGTGGGCAGGGGGGCTTTGGACCAGCTGCCGCACTGAGTGATAGCAGGGGAGGGGTGGTGCTGGGGTCCTCTGGGCCTTAGTGTGCTCAGCAGTAGAGCAGGGGTGGTAGCAGGGCCTGTTTCACCGGTTGCTCATTATTCCGTGAACAAATGCCAGGAAATGCTTAGAACAATGCTGGGCTTGGGTCCCTGCTCAAAACACATGAACTTTCTGTTCAGGTACTGACCAGGTGCCAGCTCTGTGCTGGGCACCAAGTGCAGCCCTGAGAGTAGACGGAGGCTGCCCTGCCCTTCAAGTCACTGAGGCACCCTTGCCCAGCTCTGCTTTATCACGGCCTGTGTCAGTGCCTGGCACTGCCCTCTCCCCACCCGCAGAAGCTCAGCTAGGAAGTCAGAGCTTTTCGTCTGCTCTGTCACACCATGTCCCAGCACCAGTGCCTGGCGGCTGCTCAGCAAATATTGATTGATTGAAACTCATGCTGGATCGGAAGGCAGGCCTCAAAGAAGGTGCAGGTACTTAGAAACGTGTTGAAGTAAATAACGCAGGGTCATGTGAGAGAGAAGGGACTGTGTTACCCAAGATGGTCGTGGGAGGCAGGCTCAGGGAGCAGGTGACACTTGGCCTGAAACTCCAGCCATGAGAAGGTGACTTTCCAGGAGTGAGAAACAGTGCTCTTGGCACAGGGAGCAGCAGGTGTGCTCGGGGAGGCCTGCGGGAGCAGGAGGGGAGACTCCCAGGCCAGCGCAAGCGTTCAGGCTTTGTTTGGATAGTGAGGGGAGTGTGGGCTTTGACCCCGCATCTTCGAGCGATCGCCCTGCTGCCACGTGGACTGTGGGCTGGGGCTGAGTGTAGGAACCAGCGAGCAGCTCAGCTGTACTCTCCTTGGCCTGGGGGTGCTGCCCCTGGTGGAGAACAGCAGGCTGCAGGGGCTGCGGGGGTGTTTGGATTTTAGCAGTTGGATGATGACTGAGGAGGCTGCAGGTGTAGGGGAAACAGTCCCTCAGGCCTGGGCCAGCCAGGCCAACTGGGAGAGTGGGAACCAGGCCCAGGCCTGCCATTCTCCTGCAGCCCTGGAGCCCAGCCCCCTGCCCCCCATTTTCTAGCCAGGCTGGAACCTGCTCCCGGGGGAGGGGCATTTGCCGGTTGCCAGGTGCCCAGGTTCCGGCCGCACTAGCCACAGCCATGCTGCCCGTGCTGCCCTCGCTGCCCTCACTGCCCTTGCTGCTCCTGCTGGCGACGACTGCCCCCAGCCACGGCTGGTCACGGCCCCTCTGGTACCAGGTGGGGCTGGACTTGCAGCCCTGGGGGTGCCAGCCAAACAGCATGGAGGGCTGCAGGGCCAGTCTGGGCTGCCCTGGCTATTGGATGGACCTGGGAGCGAACCACATCTACCCTGTGGCTGGGGTCACGCTCACCACCACCATGATGATGCTGGTGATCAGCCGCCGGGTGCTGCAGCGGCGGCGCCTACAGGCCACCAAGGTTGAGGTGAGCACAGCTCTCCTCTGTCGCCTCTACTTATACCCAGTGGGCCTGTACCCTCTGCCCAGCCCTTCCCCTTCTGCCCATCCTGTGGCCTGTGGGCCTCCTACCCCCTGCTCATGCCCCGTCATCCCTGCATCTGTCCACATATCTCCATGGGACCCACGTCCACCACCTGTTAGTTCCTGACCCTTCCCCACACCAGTACCCTGCCCCATTTGTCCCCCTTCAGTGCCCCATTCTCATCCAGCCCCCAAGGGCCCCATGACCACCCTAGCCCACAAGAGACCCTCAGCAATCTTCCATCACTCTGTCCCCTTCCCATCTCCTCCGGGCACTGTCCTGTACCCTCCTCCCCATCTCCGTTGCTGCCCCTCGCTATACCTCTGCCTGTCCCTCCGCTCTCCCTCCTGCCTCTTGGTTCTATTCTCAGCACCCGCAGGTGACCACTGAACCCTGTGGACCCTGGAAACGGCAGGCCACAATCTCAGACCGCACTATACTGCTTGGAGTCCTGCACATGCTGGATGCCCTCCTGGTCCATATCGAGAGCCACCTACGGCATCTAGCCACCCAGCAGCAAATCCAAATAAAGGGGACTTCCACCCAGAATGGGTGACCTAGCACATGCCCGTCTTTGCCTGATGGCCAGTGGGGTGGGGATGGCCTGAGGCCCTGGGCCAGGGCGTCCCCTTTCCACTCTTGTCGCCAGCAGACCTGTCGAGGCCTTGGTGTCCAGATGGGTGGGCAGGTGAGGCCCAGACTGGCTCACACAAGGGGATCGTTCCTCCCTAGGGATCCCACCCACAAACACAAATGCTCCTGTGGCCTGACTGATACCAGGGGATCCCCAGCGTGGCAAAAGACCACTGGGGCAAACTTGGGGGTTCAGGGAGGGTTGCCCAGAGGAGGTGACAACCTGGCTGAGTCCTGAGGAGGAATGGGTGTGGGGAAGCGTATCCAGGTGGAGGTGTCACTCTGAGCAGAGGCCATGTGCTGAGCTTGGTACTCTGCACATGCTGCTGAGGTGGGCAGTGCCCAGTCTTATGGGGCCTCAAGTGCCAAGTGGGGGTCACAGGCTTCTCCAGTGCACAGGGGGAGCCGAGGAGGGGCCTGGTCAGCTGAGGACGTGGATTGGGGGCAATGGTGAGGCTGGAGCCAGACCCCGAGGGTCTCTGATAGGAGACTGAGAGCCCTGGGTCCCCACTCACTGTGGGGTCCCACCCACTCCTTTGCATCACCCACCCTTGTCCCCATCTCAGGGAGGTTTACAGGGGAGCTGTCCTCATGACTTTAGTCCTGCCACCAAAAAGGCATCTGGCTCTGGTTTCCTTCTTCCTTGGCCCTGTAAGCCACTTTTGCAGGGTGTCAACTGCTCTGAGTCTTCAATAGCAGCCACTCTGCAGATCCCTGGCTCCTGCCTGGCCCCCCAGCTCAGGCCCAGCAGCCTCAACCACCTTTGTTGCTACGGCAGCCTCAGACAAGCTCTGATGCCTCAGTGGTGCTTGCTCCAAGACCCCCGGAAGAGGAGTGAGGGCCAAACCTCCCCAAAGGGTCCTCACTCCTTCCTTCCTTCCTTCTACCACAGGTGATCCAGCATGAGTTGGGCCTGAGGCATATGCATTTTTAGGGTCCTGTTTTAAAAAAGACAACATTATGAATTCAAAAATAGAAACAGAAGTGAATTAAAATAATGAGAAAAGCTGGACACGGTGGCTTGCCCCTATAATCCTAGCACTTTGGGAGGCTGAGGTGGGAGGATCGCTTAAGCCCAGGAGTTTGAGGTTGCTGAGAACTAGGCTGACACCATGGCACTCTACTCCGGGCAACAGAGTGAGACTCTGTCTCAAAAAAAAAAAAAAAGCAAACAACTGAACACCCCTCCTCACAGCCCCCCACCGCTTCATATTAAAAAAAACAAAACACTTTTGTGCATTAAATGACACTATCAAGAATAGACAGCCCAAAAAAAGGGAATATGTTTACAAATCATGTATAATAAGAGATTAATATCCAGATAATATAAAGAACTTCCATGACTCAAAAAGGCAAACAACCCAGTTAAAAAATGGGCAGCCAGGCACAGTGGCATGTGCCTGTAGTCCAAGCTACTAGGGAGGCTGAGTGGGGAGGATCTCTTAAACTCAGGAGTTTAAGTCCCACTTGGGCAACATAGCAAGACTCCCTTTCTGGAAAAAAAAAAAATTTAAAAACTGGGCAAAAGACTTGAATAGATATTTCTCCAAAGAAGATATATAAATGGCCAATCAGCATACGAAAAGATGCTTAATATCACTAGTCATTAGGGAAATGCAAATCAAAACCCAATGAGATGCCAATGCATACTCTTCAGGATGGCTGTTTTTAAAAACAAAATGAAACAAAAACAAAATAATGAATGGTGAGGATGTAGAGAAATCAGAAGCCTTGCGCTTGCTAGTGGGAATGTGAAATATTGCAGCTACTATGGGAAACAGTTTGGTGGTTCCTCAAAAAGCTAACCGTAGAATTATCATATGATCCAGCAATTCTGCTCCTAGGTATATACCAAAAGAATTGAAAGCAGGGACTCAAACAGATACTTGTATGCAAATGTTTACTGCAGCATTATTCACAATAGCCAAAAGGCAATAAACTCAAGTGTCTATCAACAGATGAATGGAGAAACAAAATGTGGTATCTACAGACAATGAAATATATTATTCAGCCATAAAAGTCATGAATTTTTGATACACACTACAACATAGATAAGCCTTGAAGACATTACGCTAAATGAAATTAACCAAACACAAAGGGACAAATACTTTTACTTACATGAGTTACTTAGAATAGGCAAATTCACAGAGATAGAAAATAGAATCAAGGTTATCAGGAGCTTGGGGAAGGAGAAAAATGATAAGTTATTTCTTTTTTTTTGAGACAGAGTCTCACTCTGTTGCCTTGAGTAAAGTGCTGTGGCATCAGCCTAGCTCACAGCAACCTCAAACTCCTGGGCTCAAGCAATCCTCCTGTCTCAGCCTCCCAAGTAGCTGGGACTACAGGTGTGCACCATGACACCCGGCTAATTTTTATATTTTTAGTAGAGACGGGGGTCTCACTCTTGCTCCGGCTGCTCTCAAACTCCCAACCTCAAGCGATCCTCCCGCCTCGGCCTCTCAGAGTGCTAGGATTACAGGCGTGAGCCACCACGCCCAGCCATGAGTTATTTCTTAATGGGTACAGATTTTCTGTTTGGGATGATGAAAAAGTTCCGGAAATAGAGAGTGGTTATGATTGTACAACATTCTGAATGTACTTAATGCCACTGAATTATATGTTTAATAATGATTAAAGCACTATATTTGATGTTATGTATATTTTAGTAAACTTTAAAAAATAACATAAAAAGAAAAATATGGAAAAATAAACAGGTGAATGTATCAAATAAAATATTGAGTAAGAAGGTTAAGGTGAGTGCCAGAGCCCTCCCAGACAGAGCACAGCCTGCATGGACCTGGCACAAGTTTGAGAATCTCTGGGACAATAAAGGGACTTCAGAGATGGATGAAGAAAGGAGGCCTGGTCAGGAAATGGTGTTTCAAAATTTAGCTTGCAATTTAGGGGAAAAGAGGATATTTTGACCTCACGTCACTTCATATACCGAGTAAATTACAAAAGATCAATGAGTCACTGAAGACTGTTGCCAAATCGTTGCAATGGCCACTGCTTGCACTTGACATTTTAGTAACATTTTCTTTTTTGATCAGCTTCTTGAAACACATCCTTCCCTGCGTGCCTACAGCATGGCACTTCCTGGCTGTCTCCCTAGCCTTCCCTTCTCACCCCAGGATAGCAGTGGAGGTGGGGAGGGAGGATAGGGGACTGGATTTAGAAATTATTTGGAACAAGATTTGCTGAAGGACTGGGTGTGGATTGTGGGAGCAGAGTCAAGGATGACTCCTACATTTCTAGCCTGAGAAACTGGGTTAATGGAAGTGTCACGTACTGAGATGAAGGCAGTTATGGTAGGAACAGGTTTGTGAGGTAAAGTGAAGAGTTCAATTTTTTTTTTTTTTTTTGAGACAAAGTCTTGCTCTGTTGCCTGGGCTAGAGTGCCGTGGCATCAGCCCAGCTCACAGCAACCTCAGACTCCTGGGCTCAAGCGATCCTTCTGCCTCAGCCTCCCAAGTAGCTGGGACTACAGGCATGCGCTCACATGCCCGGCTAATTTATATATATATGTTTTTAGTTGTCTAGATCACTTCTTTCTATTTTTTAGTAGAGACGGGGTCTCGCTCTTGCTCAGGCTGGTCTCGAACTCCTGACCTTGAGCAATCCACCTGCCTCAGCCTCCCAGAGTGCTAGGATTACAGGCATGAGCCACCGCGCCTGGCTGAAGAGTTCAACTTTAGCCATGCTTAATGTGAGACGTCTGTTGACCATCCAGGGGAGACAGTGAGCATGCTGATGGGGATACAGGAGCTGTCAGTATATGTATGGACGGCACTGAAGCTGTGAGCTGGACAGGAACAAGGAAGGGAAGAGGTGTCAGGACAGAGCCCTGGGCCCTCATTGTGTAGAGGCAGGGTGGTGGGACAAGAACACAGAGTGGGTACTGCAGAGCCCCAGGGCCCAGGTGCCCACCCCAGAAGTAGCGAACATCCAGGAGGGTCTGGAAACACAGAAGCAAACAGGTTTATTTATTTTCCCTCTTTTCCTCACCAGTAGCAATAATAATAATAATAATTATTATTTTATCACTGCTAATAGTTATGTAACAATTACTATATGCCAGGCTCTGTTCTATACTTTATTTTTTTTTTTCCAAAGGGGATATGGAGGGAGGGAGGGACACATGTGCTTTAGCAGATTCTGTCAAACAGTTTTCCAAAGCAGTTGTCCCATTTTACCCTCCCACCAGAAGTGTTCAAGAGTTCCAGTTGCTCCAGGTCCTAGCCAACACTTGGGATGGTTAGCCTTTTTACTTTTAGCCCAGTGGTGGGTATACAGTGGTATCATTGTGATTTGAGTTGCATTTCCCTGATGACTAGTGACATGGCATATCTTTTCATATGTTTATTGGCCATTTGGTTACCCCTTTTTGCCCATTGAATTTTAATTCCCATTTTTGTTCTTAATAGTGAGATTAAACATATTTCTAAATGTTATTTGAATTTCCTTTTCAGTCAACTGTGTGTCACGGTTTTGAACTTTTCTTAATTGGATTTTATGGTCTTTTTATTATGGATTTGTAAGAGCTCCATCTATATTAGGGAAATTGACTTTTTGTGATATGATTTACAAATAGTTTTCCCAGTGTGTTTAACTGGTGTGTTTCTTCACAGACATTTTAAATTTTCATGTGGTTGATGTTGTTGATCTTTTCTACGCTGAAGTGATTGATTTAAAACATGAATCAGAGCCCATTACTGCCCACTGAATCCTCCACTGCCCCCACTCCCTGTAGATGAAGCGCTAGCCGCAAAGCATGGTCTATGAAGTCTTTTGGACCCCACCTCTGCCAGCCTCACTGACTCCATCCTCTCCCTGTTCCCCCAACGTCCCGCCTACTGTGCTCCAGCCTCAAGAGGCCTTCTCGTATCTTGAAAACACCAAGCTTGTTCCCACCCTAGGGCTTTT